GAGGACTGGGCCCCCCCCTCGAGAGAGCGTTGCCTCCCCCCCCCCCCCCGGGAGCGTTGCCTCCCCCCCCCCCGAGAGCGTTGCCTCCCCCCCTGTGCAGTCCCAGATCTAACATTAGGTCGGGCATGTCCTTCTACAGGCGGATCCTGGAAGAGAGACTGGAGATAGGCAGACATACCCAGCTTTCTCCACAACAGAGTCGAGGGATCCTCCCCCGAGTATCGAGTATTTTTGACTCTTCTTGCATAGTCTAGTAGGTTCTTGAGTTCTCCTCCAGTAAATAGGGCCGCGCCAGACCTGAATCCAACACGAGAATTGTTCCCATCCTACTTCAAGGCCACATCCCAGACATCATCTCGAGCAGCCGGAAAAGTGTCAAAAGAGTGTCGAGACAGTGCCAAAACAATGTCGGGCGAGAGTCCCCCAGGGCCCGGCGCGGGAAGACCCCTGAGTTTCGCGCGTGAAGACCCTTGAGTTTCGGTGCTCTTTCTGGCGCTCGACATTCTTGAAGGGGAACTGGGACACACAAATAAATAGACACAAATAACCAGACTCCCCATATTTTCCCATATTTTTGGGGTTTCAGTCTTCCCCCCCACTTCCCATATTTTACCATATTTTCTGGGGAATCGACGATTAATTGTGTCTGTGTGTTTCTTTCCCTCCTGAATTCTTCCTGGTAATCAAGCCCGAAGTAGGTTGGAGCATCATAACACGAGAGGGGCGCAGCCCTCCCAGCCGCCCTGAGCCCGACGCGTGAAGACCCTTGAGTCTCGGTACTCCTTCTGGCGCTCGACACTCTTCCTGGCACTCAAGGCCGAAGCAGGTTGGAGCATCATTCGGGGATGGACAGAACCCCCTTTAGTAAAACGTGGTTTAGTGAAAACGACCTGAGGCCCAAACCTGGCGGGCGCAGGCCTGGAAAATAACGGCCACGGCGCCCTCTCGAGAACCGAAAACGGACAATTCACTAATCGACGTGTCACTGTTGGGGGTTCTGTCCACCCCCGAATCATAACACGAGAGGGGCACAACCCTTCCGGCCGCCCTTGGGGGCCGGGCGCCCCCCGCTGGCGAAGCACACCCGCCGCGCGCCGCTCTTCGCCCGCCGGCGCCTTGCCGACCTGCACGGGCGGCCGGCGCCACCAGCGGCGCCGCCGGCGCCGGCCGTGGGGCCAGGCCAGCGCGAGGATCTGGACCTCGGCGCAGGGGGTCCTGGCGGGGCGCGACGGTGCCCGGGCAAAAGTCTGGGGCGCGCAGACATGGATTGGCGATCCATGGATCTGGCGCGCAGTCGCCAAATCCATGGATCGGGGGAGGTGCTCTCCCCCGAAAATCCGCGATTCCCCATTGGAGCGGGACCCGTCGCTGATCCATGCCCCCTTGATCCATGTTTGCGATCGCCTGAAAAAAGTGCCCACGCCCATGGCCGTGAGGTGATGCAACACGAGAGAACAGCCCCAACTGCGGAATGCTCTCGCTGCGCACCCCTGCCCCCCGAACCCAAAGTTGAAGTGTGTCCATATGCCCTGGCCTATGGCCTACCGCCCAAGAACCCGCCAACCTTGAATTTGGGGAAGGGGGGTCTACACTTTGGTCCGACGTGCTTTGCTAAGTCCTCCTCCTCCTCCTCCTCCTCCTCCTCCCCCTCCTCCTCCTCCTCCTCCTCCTCCCCCTCCTCCTCCTCCTCCTCCTCCTCCTCCTCCTCCTCCTCCTCCTCCTCCATCAGGAAAATGACGCGACCCAGTCCGAAATGTGACGCGGGCTCCCGCTGCAAATATCCCACGAAAAATGGACCGTCAAAATCCAGGACACGCTCGCCAAAAAGCGCTGGCAAACCCGAGTTCCGGCGCACTCGAGTCTTACGTTTCCCCGATCGGAGGCGGGGGGCATTGAGCTGGAATCGGCGATCCCTAATCGGAGATAGCCCCCCTAGAGGGGACACATATTGGCTCGACAAGGGGGGGAGGACCTTGAGCTGGAATCGGCGATACGATGCGATACGTCGCCGACAGATCGGCGCCAGGCCCTTGAGAGCGGACGCGGGCGAGGTGGGCCATCGGGCCCAGCATCGGCGGTGAATGGGCGATCGGGTGTCGATTAGGGCTGCCCCGATACGCAACACGCAACACGTAGCGTGTTGATGCGGAGCTCCACACGTAGACTGAACACGTACGTTTTGTGAACACGGACGCTTGGGGATGGACAGACCCCCCTTTAGTAAAACGTGGTTTAGTGAAAACGATCTGAGGCCCAAACCTGGCGGGCGCAAGCCTGGAAAATAACGGTCACGGCGCCATCTCGAGGACCGAAAACGGACAATTCACTAATCGACGTGTCACTGTTGGGGGTTCTGTCCGCCCCCGACACTGACGCTGCCCCTTGGCCTCCGGGCCATGCCCCAGGCTCTCCCGCGGCTGCCCTGGACGACCCGGGCACCGCCGAGAACCCCCGGGCGAGGCGCAGCCGCTGGAAGGCCTCCGGACCACCTCGAGCCTCCAAACCCACGAGCACGAAACCGGCGAGAGCCCACCAAAAAACGCCCGACGGCCTCGAGCCTCCAAACCAACGAGCACGAAACCGGCGAGAGCCAACGAGCAACGCCCGACGGCCTCGAGCCTCAAAGCCAACGAGCACGAAACCGACGAGAGCCTCACAGGGGGCGGCACATGCCCGCGCCCCCGCGGCCTCGCGGGGCGGGCCCCCCACGGCTGCGACCCCGCGGGGGCAGTCTTGCTCGCGGCTGCTCCCGCGGGCGGAGCGCTCCCACGGCGATATGCCGCGCCTCCGCGGGCGGATCGCGCCCCGGACTGCTCGCGGCCGCGGGGGCACGGATGCGGACAGGCTCGTCGCTCGTGCCCCCCCGCCCCCCCCAAGGAGGAGGAGGAGGAGGAGGAGGAGGAGGAGGAGGAGGAGGAGCGAGAGGGTCGCCCCTCGAGCCTCCTCCCCTGGCCCAGACCCCCCAGCGTCGTCGTGACTCTTCCGCAAGGTCGGCCCCCCGAGGTCTGGACCCCTCCCCCGGGGCCGGCTCCTCATCCCGAATCGTCTTTGGACGGTCCCGAGGCCAGGTGAAGGACCCCCTGAGCCCGATAGTAGCGAAAAACTTTCCGTCACGATGCTTCCACAACGCGAATGTAATAATACGAATAATACCACTAAAACTACTTACAATAGTAGTACTACTAATACGAATATCAGTCGTACTATCAGTACGCGTTATATTACGAAAAAGTCGAACAATTATAAAAACAACTATCATAATACGAACGTTACGAATACTACAAGAACGACTAATACTACTAAGAAAAATCGCACTAATAGTAATAGTAGTAATAACACACACTAATAATACTAAGAATAATGATAATACTAATCGTAACATGAGGAAGCGGCATACCGCTGGACCCTCCTCCCTGGCGCGCGGAGCGCGCCAGGGGCGGCGCCGGGTCGCAGCCGGGGGGGAGGCAAGCGCGGATCCAAGCAATCCGCGCGGAGCGCCGCAAATTTCGGTTAATGCAATTTTTTCTCCTTCGAGCGAGGGGGTCTGGGCCTGGCGTTGCCCCAAGGGGTCCGCTGCCTGGCCGCCGCCGCCACCGCCGGGACCCTTTCCCCAGGACCGGCGTTTGCTCCTGCATCGCTTCTTGACGGCCCCGAGGCCAGGTGAAGAACCCCCAGAGGCCGAAAATAGCTCAGACCCTCTTGCCGCGATGTTTTGTCACAAAGAAAACGGAGGATAAGCAGGAGGAGGAGGAGGAGGAGGAGGAGGAGGAGGAGGAGGAGGAGGAGGAGGAGGAGGAGGAGGATGAGAGAAGGGGAGAAAGGGAGAGGAGAGGAGGGCAGAGGGGAGGAGGAGGAGGAGGAATAGGAGTGAGGAGGACGAAGAGGAGGAGGAGGAGGAGGGAGGAGGAGGAGGATGAGGATGAGGAGGGAGGAGGAGGAGGAGGAGGAGGAGGAGGAGGAGGAGGAGGAGAAGGGGGAGGGGGGGGGCAGGAGGCAGGAGGGGGAGGAAGAGGAGGAGGAGAGGAGGAGGAAGGAGAGGGAGGAGGAGTGAGGAGGAGGAGGAAGGAGGAGGAGGATGAGGAGGAGGCGGAGGAGGAGGAGGAGGGAGGCTGAGGAGGAAGATTGAGGAGGAGGAGGAGGGAGGAGGAGGAGGAGGAGGGAGGAGGAGGAGGAGGAGGAGGAGGGGGTCTGAGTTTGGCGTGGCCCCCCAGAGGGTCCCCTGCCCGGTCGCCACCACCTCGCTGCACCGCAACTCGACGTCCATGCCAGCGGGGAGGCTCGCTGGAGCCCGGGCGAGCAGGAGGCGCCGCAGCGGCGCCGGGAGCAGGCCCCCGCCTGGGCGCCCCCGTGCCTCGGCAGGGCGCCAAGTTGCCAAGATTCCTCCCCCTCGTCCTCCTCGTCCTCGTCCTCGTCCTCGTCCTCCTCCTCCTCCTCCTCTTCCTCCTCCTCCTCCTCCTCCTACTCCTTCCTCCTCCCTCCCCCTTCTCTCTCTTCTCCTCCTCCTCCCCTCCTTTCTCCTCCTCCTCCTCCTCCCTCCTCCTCTCTCCATTTTCTTCTTCTTCTTCTTTCTCCTCATTCCTCTTCTTCTTCTTCCTCCTCCTCCTCCTGCTCCTCCTCCTCCTCCTCTTCTTCCTCTTCTTCTCCTCCTCTTCCTCCTCCTCCTCCTTCTCCTCCTCCTCCTCCTTCTCCTCCCTCCTCCTCCTTCTCCTCCTCCTCCTTCTCTCACCCCCTCCTCCTCCTCCTCCTCCTCCTCCTCCTCCTCCTCCTCCTCCTCCTCCTCCTCGTCGTCCTCGTCCCATCCTCGTCCTCGTCCTCGTCCCTCCTCCTCCTCCTCCCCTCCTTCTCCCCCCTTCTCCTCCTCCTCCTCCTCCTCCTTCTCCTCCTCCTCCTCCTCCTCCTCCTCCCCCTCCTCCTCACCCAGAGCGCAATGTTCAAAATTCGCAGCCATAACGGGCGTTGGAGGCCCAGGACGCCAAGTCACACTCTCCTATCACGGGGGGGATATGTCGACCCCATGTCCCAGGCTTCGAGTGGCTTTTCAAGACCAGATATATTTGGGGCCCATCCCTGGGATATGCGATCGCGAATAGCCCCTTTATTGGGGTGCATCCCAAGGTTTTCCCTTCTCTCTGAGCGGTCAAACGCTTCCTGCGAACCTACACCCAAACATCCAGCGCCTCGAGAAAATCGAGGCAACACAAATTTCACAAGTTCTGGCCTCTCGGGGCCCTCGCTGGGCCCCAGGACCGTCTACAGAACGGCTCGTGATGAAAAGCCAGTCCCAAGGAAATGGTCGAGAGGTTGGGGCCCCGTTCGGGTGTTGCTAGAAGTGCCCCGGTGCCCCCAGGATTCCCAAGGAGGCCCCCACGGCCTCCAGAGCATCCCTCACGAGGCCCAGAGGGCCCCAGGGGCTCCGAAACTGAGCGAAAAGCTGGGGGCACCTTGGGCCAGGGGCACCTCTCTAGCATTCTAGCAACACCCGACCCATGCCAGCGGAGAACATCGGCACGCCAGATGTCCGGGCACCGATCCTGGCCAGGCCCATCGTGGGCCCAGGATCAGTATATATGCGCCCCCCTGGCTGGGGCTATAGAAGGCACGCGCCCCGACCCGGGGCCGAACCTAAACGGTGCTCCTCGTGTTCTTCCTCGATGTGCCTTCGCTTCGCCCCGAATGCAGAGCAGAACGAGAAACACTTTTTGATCCGCGGGTCGAGAGCGCACCTCTTCCGGTCGAAGCCAAGCGGGCCGCGCGAAGCTTGAATTAGGCAGAGAAGAGGAGGGAGGAAGCGGCGGAGCCTCAGAGCGAGGCCGAGAGGAGGCATAGCCTCGGATACAGGCGGTGCCGAAACCGAAGCTCTTGCAAACGGAACAAATGGGAACATAACGAAACGAGAAGCACAGAACGGCCCACGAGATGGCCGAGGCACCGCTGATGCTTCGGCCCTGCCCCGGCCAGGCCCAGCCAGGAACGGTCCGGTGTGGGCGTCGTGCGAAGGGGCCCAGGGACACAGAAAGCAATGCACACAAATCCCAGGATGCCGAATATTTTCCTGTATTTCTTTGATTTTCGTCATCCCCCCCCACTTCCCAGATTTTCCGAGATGTTCAGGGGGCTCGACGATTCACTGTGTCTGTGTGTCTTTTTGTCTTTTTCCCACCTGAGTATACCCCCCAACATCTGCGACGTCGCGATGTGCGCAACAAAAACGCCGACCCCCACAGGTCAGACTCTTCCCCTGGGGCGGCTCTTCCTCCCAAGAAACTTTGTTTTTTCCTCTTGCGGTCCCGGGGCGGGACTCCTCGTGCAGCGGGACGCGCCCGACCTTAACCCCAGAGGTCAGACTCCGTCCCCAGGGGCGGCTCCTCCTCCCAGGAAGTAGTTTTTTTGTTTTTGCTCTTGCGGTCCTCTGGGGCGAGGGCCCCATGAGTCGGGGATGGACAGACCTCCCTTTAGTAAAACGTGGTTTTGTGAAAACGACCTCGGGCCTAAACCTGGCGGGCGCAAGCCTGGAAAATAACGGCCGCGGCGCCCTCTCGAGAACCGAAAACGGACAATTCACTAATCGACGTGTCAGGGTAGGAGGTCTGTCCACCCCCGAAGGAGGCGGAGCAGTGCCAACCAACAAAAAAAAGCAGGGCCCGCCGCGAGGTGCCTCACGGCGTCTCGCCCGAGGGCTCTGGCACATGCTTCGGCGGTGGACAAACCTCCCTCTAGTAGACCTCCCCTCAATGAAAACGGCCTGGGACCGAAATCGACGGACCTGGACCCGCAAAAACGACGGCCGCGACGCCCTCTCGCGAACCGAACACGGCCAATTCCTTACTCGACGTGTCGGGGTTGGAGGTCCGTCCAACCCCGAATGCTCGAACATGACGGCTGAAAGGAGCCGAATCACACAAGAGGGGGGGCAAGGGGGCCCAATGGCGTCTGGTCCGGCAACTGGTGCGCGCTTCGCCCCCGAACCCCTGCTTCAGAACATGTTCGGGAACCGTGCCCCTCGCCTTGTGTTGCTCCCTTCGGGGGCGGACAGAACCCCCAACAGTGACACGTCGATTAGTAAATTGTCCGTTTTCGGTTCTCGAGAGGGCGCAGTGGCCGTTATTTTCCAGGCTTGCGCCCGCCAGGTTTGGGCCTCAGGTCGTTTTCACTAAACCACGTTTTACTAAAGGAGGGTCTGTCGATCCCCGATCCCTTCGTACTTAAGGACCTCACCCCAGAAACCATTTCGAGCACGCGGAAAAAATCGAAAGAGTGTGGAAAGAGTGTCAAACGAGCGTCTCCAAGGGCCCGGCAAGTGAACACCCTCGAGTCTTGGGGTACTTGTTTCTGGTGCTCGAAATTCTTTCTGGTGATCAAGGCTAGAGTAAGTTGGAACATCGTAACCCTCACCTCCGTGGCTGCTACGTTTGTCGGTCCCGACAGCCACGAGCCCCTGTAAAAATCTCACGACCGTGCCCGTGGCCGTGCACTGATCTCTGTCGCACGTCCACGATCCCT